GCGCCACATCTCTCCAGAAATTGCTCCAAGGGTAGTCGAGGCCTCACTGTGAGGAAGATGATGATGTCGGTCCACAGTGACTGCTGGGTGATCGCCACTTGTCGCCATCGCTGAGAGACGTAGGATACGTTCAGCACAAACATTCGCGCTGGCATCTTGTCATTGTATTCCTGGTAGCCGATTTCAAAGATCAACGCTACGATCTCTGTGGGAAGTAATGTGATGGATGGGCCCGGGGTCAAGTGTACCCGTGCAAGTTTCGTAGATAGTTCAGATAGAGCGTCATCCTTTGGTCGGTCCATACGTGTCATATGGTGGGTGGCTAGAGTTGTAGTATTGATCCTAAGTGGGGACCGATACATCTGCTGCGCAGTTTTCTCATTTTCATGAGAACTCATGATTTTATGTGGTCGCTTCAGCCCAGGGGTTGATGCGAAGGCGTTGCCTATATAACGGTATACGATGATAGGAAAGAGCAGGAGAGCCGTTGGTACGATGTACCTTGTGATGCTGGTGGTAGTTGTCTAAAATTCTGGTGAGGTATTGCTGTGGAACGCCTTCCAAGTTGAACGCCCCGTGCACGTGGGAGGTTGTCTTGCGGTTCAATTTCAAAAAGATGACTACGGTAAAGGAGCCGAAGCACATGGGTAACGAGACGTCTCCTGCGCTCAACGCTGTGACGCGTCGAACGCGTTTGATTGCTCCTGAATCTCTCGGATTAGGCAAAATTCGGATACACACGTCAGCGCAATCCAGAAGAACTAAATCATGGCAACCTCGCAGCCTAACACTCCACGACGTTCGACCCGACGTACGACAACTGGGCCTCTTGTTGCGCGAAGTGCTAGAAGACGCGAGGACACTGAGGTTTACACTTGGGTGGGGCAGCCAACTCACTCGCGTCCTAGTGTGCGCGATGACTTCATGGATGAGGAGGAGTGGATAGAGGCGAACGGCGACTCAGATTCTGACGACGAGAAGGAGGAATGGGACAGAGACGAGAAGATCCTGGTGACGCGATTCTACGAAGCATTCACAGTGAGCGGGCGGAAAGCTCGACCTGGTATGGCGCGATTCACCAACGTGAAAGCCAAAGTAAAGGGAAAGGCGAGAGAGCAGGAGGAGCGTTACAGCGTTGGGGACACGGTCCTCGTATATTCAACGAACCGCTTGCCAAGTGTGGGCGTCATCATATCTATGTGGGAGAATCGTTGGACGCGCGAGGAGGAAGAGGAAGTGGACAGTAAGGTTGTGAAGATACATTGGTTCCTGCGGCCGAGCGAGCTCGCAGGGGTACGCGCCAAACGTGATCATCAGCCTGTACGTCTCCTCTATCTACTGTACTGATCTTTATAGACTAACAGAATGTTCTACAGGGCGAGATATACTACTCTTTATCCCAGACAGTGACTGTTGCCCCATTGGACATCCTCACAAAATGCAGTGTCTCGAACGAGTCCAATGACGAGGAGGGGGAAAACTACTTCTGCCGTGCCGCTGTTGACTCCGGAAGAGGGCTCTACTATGCCTTTGACTGGGAGGACCACCGGAGGGCGGCACTGGACAGTGAAGGTGGTGGGATGGCAGATGTGTGGGACGTACTGGTGAAGGAGGAAGTGAAAGCTAAGAACAAGGGTAAGAGCAAGGCCTCGAAAAAGGACGTGGAAGCGAAAAAGAAGACAGTGAAGCAGGTATTGAGTGATGAGGAGGATGGAATCGAGGAGAGCGAGGGATCAGGCCTGGAGGACGACTATGAGCATGCCTCAGGGTCCTCTTCCTCGGCCGCCTCAGACGTCCCAGAATCTGACCTCGAAAGAGAATCCGACGAGGACGAGCTTGACTCCGACACCGACACCCTTCGTACACCCTCGCGAAAACGCAAACGAGCCGCCACTCGCACACCGTCAAAACCGAAAGCCAGCCGCCAACTCGCCCAACCAACACCACACTCGCGCAAGTCCCTCGCTGCGCGGAAGAAGAAAAAGCCTCTGCGCATCCCGCGCCCAGTCTTTGACGCGTCCCTGGCGAATGCGCGGCTGCCGAAGGACCCGTGGCTGAGAGCACAGCATTTCTTGCATGTTGGCTCGCGTCCGGATGTGCTCGTGGGAAGAGAGGAAGAGTATAAAAGGTGTTTGAGTGCGGTGGAGGAGCTTGTTGACGAAGGGAGTGGTGGGTGCGTCTGTGAGTCTAGAATCCTTTGTGGCAGGAATTCCTCTGCTGACGGGCTGGGGATCACAGACATTTCCGGTGTACCGGGAACAGGGAAGACGGCGACGGTGCACGCAATTGTACGCGAACTCAAGCGTATGGCTGAGGAATCGGCGCGTTCTCTATGCCTTGCACCACACGGCATCCTAGAAATCTAACCTTGGTTCTATAGGAAACTAACCCATTTACTTACGTCGAGATTAATGGACTCAAGCTTCCCGAACCCAGCGCGGCATACAGCCTTCTATGGGAGGGTGTATCTGGGCATGATGTCGCCGCCGATGGCCACCTGAGCATCAGTGCCAAAGAGAGTCTGAGGTGCCTCAGCAAGCACTTCAGTAGCGCGGGAAGAGGGAGGGGAGGGCCCGGTGGGCATGCGTGGTAAGCTCAATGGATTGGCTCGGGGAGTATCGCACTGACGAAGTCGTTATATGATAGTGTGGTGTTAATGGACGAGCTAGACCAACTAGTCACGGCCAAGCAGGACGTAGTATACAACTTCTTCAACTGGCCCACGCTTCTGGGATCGAAACTAATCGTCCTCGCTGTTGCCAATACGATGGACTTACCTGAGCGTGTTATGAGCGGACGTGTGCGCAGTCGTCTAGGTATGCTACGAATTCCCTGCCGTGTGCACAGGAAACTAAAGGAGGCACGTTATCCTCAGGCATGATTCGTATTAACTTCCAGCCATACACAACGCCCCAGCTAGAACGCATCGTCCAGGCGCGACTGCAGAGCGCGAAGGATGGCCTAGACGGCGAGGGCCAGCCAAACGTCATTGCTCCCGATGGGATTAAGTTTGCTGCCATGAAAGTCTCGAGCATCAGCGGGGACGCGAGACGCGTACTTGATATCTGCCGGCGAGCAGTCGAACAAGTACAGCCACACAAGCGTGTAGCCACAACCAATGACGTGAAGGAAGTTATCAAGCTCATGCAGAATAGCCCTACTGCAGCGTATTTGCGTGATTGCAGTCTACATGAACGAATCATGCTCGCCGCGTTGATTAGAGTCATCAAGCAGCAGGGCGTCGACGAGGTCCGATGGGGCGATGTGAGTCCATTGTACACTTTTAGTTCCCGCGACGGCTATTAATACGAGATGCGCAGGTGCAATATCAGCATCTAATGTACATGAACAACCTCCCCAATGACGACGACCCCAAGCGCAAGCCTTCGGCGGCTGACTTGGATATGGTCTTGGAATCACTTGCTGCATCACGTGCAATGCTGATAGAGGAGGGTGTAACTGCCTCGAGGAAGGCAGAGGGTGACCGAAAAGTCATTCTCAACCTCGAGCAGGGGGAAGTGGAGAGGGTGTTGAGCGACGTTGGGGGTATGAAGTGGAAAAACGCGCTGAACGCTTAATTATTCGGAGATTGATTCCAGGTCTTTAGCAGGTCTGGCCATGTTACGGAATAATCCTGTACGCTAAACTACGTAGTTTTGCTTTGCGGGTTCATAAATTATATTAGAGTACTGCTCCAGAACCCAAATATTAACTGAAACATCCCTTTCCATTCAAACTCCTGAGTGAGGCTTTCAAAGCAATGGAATAGCGAGGGGCAAGAGCAAAAAAGATCTGACGACAGTGGGATTCGAACCCACGCAGATTGCTCTATGCGAAACCTGTAATCAGGCAAGCTTGCGCTTGAGTCGCACGCCTTAGACCGCTCGGCCATATCGCCTTGTGGCGAATGATCTATTGTGCATTCACAATGGTAAAATGATACAACATATCTAAGAAGCCTCCATTCTATCACTCTTATCTGTTCCGTAGCGAGATGCGGCGCTGTGTAACAGAATGATTGATCTACGAAGGCTGTCGGGAAGTTAGATAAGAACCCGCAGGGCGCTGCGCATACACACCTGGTTTGCTCGTGATAATAATTTCGGATTTCTTGCTGTCGACGCACACGTGTTTTATAGCGGACATTGCGTAGGGACATGCAAGCAATTAAGATGACTAGGGTTAGATGAGTGACGGGCTCAGCGGGAATTCGGGAACAGACCTTACCACTGAAAATGCAGACTCCGGCCAAGCTACACTGCCAAAAGGTGACTTTGAGTGGCGTCTCAGGCTGAGCGATGCAGACGCCCTCAGGACTGCAGTTATTCTTGATAAAAATCATTCAATGATTCACATGCATAGGAGAGAGCATTGTGACATACCGTCTCGCATTCCCGGTCTACGCGACAAGAGCTTCCAGTCTCGCTCGTTCTGGTGCATATCTCCGCAGATGGATCACAAAAGAGATCGGGGGTGTGACAATTGTCGCGGATGATGGTGAAAACTGATTGTTGACCCGATGGATCGTTTCCGGTGTACGTCGTATTCTCTGATTGGCAAGACTGGCCGATAGTCGCGTTGGCATAGCTCCATAGTTGTTTGCATTAGATGTTTTTACAGCAATCAAAATCAGCAATAACGAACCTGCATCTTCCTGACAAACACATACTTCCGTTGACGTTCATTGGACTGCCCAACTCTTGCCAATTCGAAGGCGGTGCGCACTGATTATCCTTATTCTGTTGACAGATCTGACCAGTAGCCAAAAGAACTCTGCATCCACTCCCTTCATCAGGACAGAAGGTTCCAGAAGGGCATAAAGTGGGTAAAATGTCGCCGGGATCATAGCCACTGGGTGAATATTGAAGTAGTCAACACTAATGAAGGGCTCGGTTAAGTATATTGGGCTCACAAAGGAAATTCATCAGGGCGACACTGCTTGGGTATACATGTCCCATTCACGGCCGCAGAGCAAAAAGTCTTATCGGAGCACTGTGTCACAAATCGCTGATAGACGGGATCGATATAATCGTTTGCCGCAGAGCAAGCTCCACCTTGAGGGACGGTACCAGCATGAACCCAAGAGAAACACGAGAGCGCGAAAGCAATGAAAAGAGGAATATCATGCATGGTTGATCGAGCTCGAGTATGCAGTGGGTGTAATGGAGAGGAGAGAACGTTGGACTGGTCAGCCTAGACTTTTTTTTGTTTTGAATTGTCAGCCTCGGAAATGGCTGGTTCGTGTAGGATTAGATCACCAAAAGGTTAACTGCGATTCATTTCCCGTTCTTTGTTTCAAGTTCCTGCTTGACATCACCGCTTGATCCTCGGACAACCAGTACAGGACGTGCGTCAACATGCTGCTACATCAACGTTGCCGGAATGCTCGGAGCGCAAGCGCCAATGTAATCTATACATGCACATTTTTCGATGTTCTCGAGCTCGCGATGAGTGTGAATCTCTGTTCGAGAGCCTGTTGACATCATTTGCGAGATGAGTATTATAAATGCTGCTGAACACGTTCGGGGTGCCGTAGCTTGTGCAGTGCCAGTGCCGGACTGCATATCCGGTAGACCGAGGGTGCTCGGGTGGACGTGACTTAGTGTCAGAGAGCTCGAGAACGCAATGTTGCTTGTTTTAACGGAGCCGCCGGTAAACACGTTGTAAGGCTTACATGAAGCGATAATCGTGGTTGTGGTTGTGGTTAGGGTTGTTTGTAAAGTGGCGAGTGAAGAAACATACTCGATACGGCAGGATACGGCCCGAGCCTAGTGATTGCATCCGAGATCATGTTGAAGGGACAAGAGGCATGCTCATCGATATCAGTTCGAGGCATTCTACGTTATACTTATCCAACATGTTTGTGACGTAGACACATAGTCTTTCTCGCACTAATATTACGTTCGACAAATCGACAACTCTGTCTAGTTAGTGGTTGCATTTGTGAACTTAGTAGGTGCAAAGCCAATACGCGAGTTAGTGGTATCAAAAACAGAGTAGAAGCGTTCTCTGAAACGAGTCGTTAATTCATATGATATGGAAAGGTACCAGAAGGAATGACGTACAGGAAACTGTATCCCAAGATAAAATTGAAGGGGAGCTCGTTGCCAAAGGTACTGACGATGGAATATATTTCCCCCTCTTCTCCACCGATAAGCGAGTTGAGCTTTCGAGGCCAGATCTGTGCGTTAGCACTCAGAGTGAATTTTCCCCCACCAATGATAAAGTTAAGCGGCTTAAGCGCAGCGTATCTATCTATGCCTGAGTTCGTTTGCTCGCTGTGAGCCAATTTTGGGGTACTTACTGGGCCGGCGTGAAGCTGATCAAGTTTTCTGTGGTGTTATAAGAGCCACCGCTGTTTTGCAGATACCCTTCGAACTCGTTTATAGACATGTAGACCATAATAGTTCCCGTGTCGACGATTCCAGAGCCCGAAAGGATGGTAGTGTTTCCGTAGGTGATGTTCTGACTTATGTACCAGGAGCCGGTGTTTGAGGGGGTGTAGGTAATGCTTCCCAAGTACTTGGAAGTGTCAGCTTGAATGCATTGTGATTAGCCCTTGCCAGAATAAGGGACACATTTCATACCTTCTCCAAAAGTGAGCGACCCCTCGGAGTCGCCTGAGGATGGAGCAAACTGGATTCCAACCACTTTGGCGTCAATCTTGCCCTGAGCATAGAGATTATCGCTGAGTATGAAATTCAGCAGCGCATCATAAAAACTGGCATTCGTGAACGACATACGTGACAGTGGGTACGGTCGCATTGGCAGGAATGCTCCCATCCGGAGAGGTTACCGACCCAGTCGTTTGGGAGGTCAATCCAATTCCCATTATTCCATCGACTGCGGCATTGATTGCAAAGTTCCCAGTATTATTACTTACACCAACCGATTGATTTGCAATGACGAGGCCTGGCGCCAGGGTCACTTCGTCCAGGTATTCAAAACCATATACGGTACCGTCTCCATAGGAGAGGGAAAGGTCGTCACCAGTGTTTATACTGGTGTTTGTCTTGACATAAGTCTTGTTGAATCCCACCCATATGTTTGCCGAGCCAGTGTCAACTTGAAGGGCTGGATAAATACTTTAGTATTGATTTTGCTGCTACGTAAAAGTGAACCCACTGTACTGCGTCGGCGGGCTGCCGATACCAACAGATGCGAGGTATGTAATCCCAGAGTTGGTGACGGGAACGGCAGATCCTCGCTTGGAATGTGCTTTCTTCGCCAGCTCGGCCATTCGAGCCCGATCCGAATTCACGACGCCCTCCTTCACAATCTTGCGAACAGGCAATGTGTGCAGAGCACTGGCTGACATGCCGCTGCCCAATACTAGCGCTAGAGCGACAAAGGATGAGGCTGGAGCCATGGTGACGAAGCTTGATGACCTGGCGCATCCCATCTCTTCGCACATTGGCTTTATAGATGAGTGCAGCGGGTCAATATCAGATCATGACATGGGTGCGAAGATTGATCTGTGCCAGCAGAGAGACTTGAAGACACAATTGTATGGCAGCATCGTGAGCTGGATATTCCGGAAACGGGAAATGCATTAGTGATTTGTTGCGTCGAACAGGACAGCTTTGCTTTGAGTCTTTTGATGGTCGTAAGACTGATGACAGTGCGGCCGACGATGAGAGAATGGATCGGAGTTGAAATCGACCCAAAACGGTCACGGTCATGCCACCACTGGAGGTGGCATGCTTTGCTTCCGCCTTGGCCATCCTTCGAGGTTCGGCACTCTGTTGCAATTGCCGAAAAGTACACAAGACAGTTGCAGGATTTGATGGCATTTGTTATTGTCCATGTGGGGGTCTAGAATTTTGTGGGGGTGTGGGGGAACCTTTCACAAAACAGACTCTTGGTCAACCTAGACCTGTGGATCATTGGTTGGCCTTCGGAAATGATTGGTGTGTATCAGAGCAGACTGCCAAAAGGTTAACTGCGCTTCATATTCCATATGCTTGGGCGAGTCAATACAACCTACACCTGTACCTTATTTGACGTTCCCGCGAGAAGTGCGGATTCCGAAGGCTCACGAGACCATTGGACTAGGCCCATCATAATGGTAGTTTTTTGGAACGCGTTTGGGGTGCAGCAGGGTGCGGCCTGCGTCGCAGTGCGGACCGGCCCGACTCCTGCCAGCGAACCAAGGGTGAACATGATAACATGCTGGAGAGAACCTATTGCTGCTTGTTTTTATGAAGACGCCGGTCACCACGTTGAAAAGCCCTTGAGTCAATGAAGCATTAATATGTAACCTCAAGTTAACTGTGGTTGTGGTTAGGGTTGTTCAATGGCTCACGTGGCTCGCACTTGGATTGAGTATGCGCTCGGTGGTAATCATTCTTCTTTCTCCCGAACTCCTTTCACTGGTTTCACCCTTCCTTGAGAATGGTTAATTGGTCTTGGTGCAATCTTTGCATGCTTTAGCGGTGATATTTTGAGCATCCCATGCTGACAAGAGCAGCGATTGCTTATCTCTAGGCCAACATATCTGTATCTGTTGTACGACCCAGTGCCGTCGACGTCGTGGATTTGGACAGTGGAGCTTTGTGCACGCACGTGGCTTATCCGCATCTCATCTATGCCATCCTCGATGATCTTGCTTGCATCTCTGGCCAGCGTCGCTTGAACGGCTAAGACGCGTGCTTTACTCGAGCGATTCCTCATGTTTTCATAACGGTGGCTGTTACGCATCCGAATAAGCAGCACAGTCGGAGACCGATGGTAGAACCCGATTCGCTCGTCGCCACAACTCCGGAAGTCATTTCAGTGGCCATAATCTCCCAACTTCACGCGATGGGCGTCCATCCGACCGCTGTCCCGTGGACTGACTCAACTTCCGCATGTGTGCCCGTTGCGGACACCCATAATTTACCAACCGCCCCAGAACGC